TAAATTACAAGTGTTCAATTAATTTAATTCATAGTTTGAAATGACTAAAAATAGTCAATATGTATTATAGTTTTATTAAAAAGATGTTACATTCCTTATTAAAAATAAAATATTATATAAAAGGCATGACACCACCTTCTGCAAATAAATATGGTGTAGCTGTACTTTTTCAGGTACTACAAGTCAAAGCACATGGCTACAAATTGAGAACCAGTTTTCCTGCTATGCTAGGCTTTTCTGGTTTCACTGTAACTTTTATTTCTACCACACTGTCATTAGCTGTAGTGCATCCACAACAGTTATCCTGCAAAATGACTGTGGTTTCCTTTCTTTCACCTAAGCCACACTTTGGCATGTTTACAAAACTGCTACAAAGAGCACTCAGCTCCCTTTCTGTTGATAACTAACATAACTTCTTAAGGGAACATCCACAGGTTCATAATTTATTTTTAAATAATAATGGACCTAACTGTTCTATCACTTATCAGTTTAATCTTGGTGTAATTCAGAGAAGTCAGTCAAGTTGCTCCTGATTGGTTCCCTTTTCATATGGTTGCCAAACATGATAAGGCTGATTCATCCCTGCACTAGCAAAAGCACCATGATAGTTACAAAGGAGACATATTCAGGGACTGCTGGTGATTGATGAACCACTCCTGGAGTGCTTCAAACTGTGCAAGCTGCCCAAATTTACATCCAGGCTTCGTGGCTCCAGGGGCACAAAATTATCAGTGTGCAGCAGGTCTGTCCCATATCAACCTCTTCCTTCCCTTGTTCGTCCCTAATGTACCCATGCTGCGCATTCCAGGCTGCAAAGGTGGTACATAGCCCGCTCAATGTACGGAATACTGTCCCCCTGTATCAGTACTATTTAACATGAGGAGATTGGCTTATAACTGTCCTATGGCACTGTTGAACCATCCCAGCTATCAGTGTGACCATAGGACAATGATGAACCATTTCTGATGCATCTAACCAATAAGACTGATGTACTATCACCAGCAGAGGGGCATGGCTATGTGTAAATGCCCAAGCACTGGAGTCAGGAAAAGAAGGAAAAAACCTACCTGTTGCAGGGAGAAGCGAGGAGGCGCGCCAGGGAAAACTGGCTGAGCAGTTTATCAGCCGCACTCATCTCCAGCTGGAGCCGGGTGACACCACAAAAAGACATCACCTGGTGAAGATAAAAACTGGCCCCGAGAGCACAGGAAGGAGGACGCCAAGTGCTGGAGGAGCAGCGGGGAACCGCCAGGCGGGGCACGTCCAGCCG